CACTTTTTTTCTTACTGACTCAAAACTGACCTTTCAAATAAAGTGCAGTTATTGGATGTTCTTTTCAGAGAAGATGAAACTTAGCTTCTCTCCATCAGTCATCTTTTTTCAAGTCTATGGCGACTGCTCTTGAAATGTTTCTCCATGGTAATGTTTATTTGTGATTCTCCTAATTCACCTTGATGAAACTTTTATTTGTAAACTACAGGTATTTAAAAATTTTTTACTTCTGCATTTGCCTTAGGAATAAGATCTTTATAATTAATTTGAGTTATTTTTTTCTGTGGTTATCATAGACAAAATTGTAAGCCTTTGTTTTGGCCTAACTAAATAAAAAGTCAAAATAAAAAGCTAATTGTCAACATTAAGAACTAGAGTTCTTGTGTTGCTTTATTATCAATGCAGTGCAATGTAGTATTTGTTGTTTTCTAACAAGCTAACCTAAAAAGGTCCTCCAAGGAAAATACATATTAATTACCTTTCTGTTGTTCTTTATCAGGTGTGGTCTAGACCAGTTTAAAGAGAGCTAGATTGTGTTTAGGCTTGTATGTGTTAGTTCAGGAGTGATGCTGTCGATACCTAGGAATGTTAGGAACCGAGGGTTATTGAAAGGCAGAATAAGGACATTAGACAGCTTTTTACTTCCTTTGAGATGGATTTCTAGAGAGAAGCTTCAATCTCAGTGTTAAGTGTTGGGTATTTCAGGAAAGGAGGATTAATCTTTACTAGAAGTAGTTACAAAAATGACTATTAGGCCAAATGACTTTGTTCTAATATATACTTCCTTAGCAGGTATTACTGAAGATTTATCTATCAATAGTTTGTATTTGCATACTTATCTACACATTTCAGCAGCAGTTATGAGGCAGTTATGAGGATTTTGAGCTAAGTGAAAGAAATGGCTTACCCACACATCTCATTAAGAACATATTTAATCATGAAATTCAAATGATACCAGGACAACTTTTATTTATTTTAAAATGTGTTAAGCTAGGTGTCACACATGTCTCTGTCCTCCTGCAGCAGGCAGTCAGTCCCTCCTGCTGTCCCATTGACAGGGGACAGCCCAGGGCCTGGGCTCCTGCACCCCCCAGAGGGATTCAGGGATCCCCAGGGCCCAGGAGGAGGAGGAGGAGGAGGCAGCATCCTTGAGGTGAGGAGGAGGGGCCCATCCAGGGGGCCCTACCAGATGTCAGGAGCCTCGGCCCTCAGTGGGTTCCAATGGACTTGTGATCACCAAGGGGGCCACTGTGCCTCTTCCCAGTCCCTTCCCTAACCCTACCTCTGTCCCACCACCTACCACTATGGCTCTGAAGAGAATTCACAAGGAATTTCATGATGACCTAGCACAGTGTTATGCAAGTTCTGCTGGAGATAGGTTCCTTCCGCAGGGTGCAATAATGGGGACAAAGGACAGTCCTTGTCAGGGTGGAGTATTTTTCTTGTCAATTCATTTCCCAACAGATTACCCCTTCAAACTACTGAAGCCTGCATTTACAACAAGAATGTATCATTCAAATATTAATAGTAACAGCATCATTTGTCTGGATTTTCTGTGGTCACAGTGGTCTTCTGCACTAACTTTCTGAAGGACTCTTGTCCATCTGTTCTCTGTTGTTCGATCCTAATCCAGATCATCCCTTGGTGCATAAGAGTGCCCGGGCCTACAAAATTGGTAGAGACAAATACAACAGAACAACTCAGGGATAGACTCAGAAGTATGCAATGTAATGAAAGAAATTATTGGATAGCCTCTACAAATAAAGATAGGGGAATTTGGAAAGAGGAAAGTCTTTTGATTTCCATTTGACTGCTTTCTATGAGCTCCTGCCTCATATTCCCCTGTGCTCTTGTTTACCTGATACAGCCCTGCTGCCTATTGTACAGGCTTGTTACAACAAACTAGAAACACTGTGCTTCTGGACCAGCATTGCCCCCTAGCGGCGAGGTGTGTGGGTGACAAGCCAGTTTTCCAGGTTTAACCCAGGTTTGGGACTGAAAGCTTTCCTGTTACCTTAAATTTGGATAATGGCAAGGTGAGGGGTGGTGGGTATGGTGTGTGCTTGGATGGGCGGAAACAGCTCCACTGACCTGTAGGACATGGTTTATTTAAAAATATATTTTACTGATTGTGCTATTACAGTCGTCCCATTACTCGCCCCCTTTCATTCTCCTCCACCCTGCACACCCTCTCCCACCTACATTCTCCACCTTTAGTTCATGTCCACGTGTCATAAGTTCTTTGGCTTCTACATTTCCCATAGTATCCTTGCTCTCCCCCTGTCTATTTTCTACCTACCATCAATGCTACTTATTCTCCATACCTTTTCCCCCTCTCTCCTCCTCCCACTCCCCTGTTGCTAACCCTCCATGTGTTCTCCATTTCTGTGGGTCTGTTCCTGTTCTAGTTGTTTGCTTAGTTTCTTTTTGTTTTGTTTTAGGTGTGGTTGTTAATAATTGTGAGTTTGCTGTCACTTCACTATCCATGTTTTTTATCTTCTTTTCCTTAGATAAGTCCCTTTAACATTTCATAAAATAAGGGCTTGATCATGATGAACTCCTTGAACTTGACCTTATCTGAAAAGCAGTTTATCTGCCCTTCCATTCTAAATGAAAGCTTTGCTGGATAGAGCAATCTTGCATGTAGGTCCTTGCCTTTTGTGACTTGGAATACTTCTTTCCAGCCCCTTCTTGCCTGTAAGGTCTCTTTTGAGAAATCAGCTGACAGTCTGATGGGAACTCCTTTGTAGGTGACTGTCTCCTTATCTCTTGCTGCTTCTAGGATTCTCTCCTTCATTTTTACCTTGGCTAATGTAATTATGATGTGCCTTGGTGCGTTCCTCCTTGGGTCCAACTTCTTTGGGACTCTCTGAGCTTCTTGGACTTTCTGGAAGTCTATTTCCTTTGCCAGATTGGGGAAGTTCTCCTTTATTATTTGTTCAAATAAGTTTTTCACTTGTTGCTCTTCCTCTTCGCCTTCTGGTACCCCTCTAATTTGGATGTTGGAACGTTTAAAGATGTCCTGGAAGTTCCTAAGCTTCTCCTCATTTTTTTGAATTCTTATTTCTCCATTCTTTTCTGTTTGGTTGTTTTTTTTCTTCCTTCTGGTCCACTCTATTGTTTTGAGTCCCAGTTTCCTTCCCATCACTATTGGTTCCCTGTGCATTTTCCTCCATTTCTCTTATCGTAGCCTGCATCTGTTCATCTAATTTGTGACCAAAGTCAACCAATTCTGTGAGCATCCTGATCACCAGTGCTTTGAACTGTGCATCTGATAGGTTGGCTATCTCTTGGTCGCTTAAAAGTACTGTCTGTGGGGCTTTCAATTCTGTTTGAGCCATCTTATTTTTTTCTTTGGTCTGGTTGCACCTGTTATATATGAGGGGCGGGGCCTTAGGTGTTCACCAAGGCGGGGCACCCCATTCCCTGGTCTGTGACGTCGTATGTGGGGGCAGGGTCTGAGAGGGAACAATGACGCTTGCTCTGCTCTCGGTTGGACCTCAGTCACTTCCACTGCTTCCCCCGAGCAAACTGGGCTTCTCTGGTGCCAATTCCTGTGTGGGTGGGCTTGTGCACCCCATGGGACTTCCCAAGGACCTCTCCTGTGAGGTAGGGAGTCTCTCCCTGTGCCTCAACCCCCACAGGTGTTTTCGATCAGTGTCCCGAGGCTCTATTTACCAGCGTTGGGACCCTGGGATGCATGCAGTACCTTGCTTCACACTTCCCGCATTGCTAGGTCTGCCGGTTGCCACCCCTTGGCCAGGTCTGCCAGCTGCTGCCTGCATACTCAGGGACCACCCACTGCAGTCTTGTGTGCCCGGGGTGCCTTACATGCCAAGTTCCAACGCTCTCTGCTCTCCTGGACATGGTGACCTGCACCTGGCTGCCCTACTCTGCCCCTCCTACCGGTCTGGATGAACGCGTCTATTTTAACTCCTTGGTTCTCCAACTTCCATTCAGATCAACTTTCTGTCAATTCTAGTTGTTCTGTTTCTAAATTGTTGTTGTCCCTATCTTGGTTGTGCGAGGAGGCACAGTTTCTACCTATGCCTCCATCTTGGCTGGAAGTAGGAGATGGTTTTTAAATGGAATACTTTTACTCTCAAAACAGATCTTAAGAAGGGGCAGGGGCAGACTGGATAAAAGGAGGTGAAGGGATTAACTGAAGAACATTCGCATAGCCCGTGGACACAGATGATAGTGTGGTGAAGGCCCGGGGAAGCGGGGGTGAAGGTGGGCAAAGAGGGGAAAGTGGAGGCATTTGTAATAGTGTCAACAATAAAAAAGTGAACAAAACAAAACACAGATATGAAAAACAGGGCAAAGAACACAAAGCTGTTTCCGTACTCATTTTGTGGTGAAGGACCTGTGCCTTAGGTGACAGTTATGACCAACCGGATTAAAGTCTACCCCTGTCCTGCATTGTAAGGTCTAAGTTTGACCGGATTGGAGCTGTTCATGCATGAAGTGTGATGGGCTTTGTTCCCACTTTTTCAAGTCTGCCAGCCCTCGACCCTTTGTCCTGTCAGCCCCCTTTCTTGCTTCTGTTTTCTTTGGTTTGTATGTGGTTGCTCAGTTGACACATAGGTAGTACCTCTTATTTTTCTTATGTTTTTAACTGCTTAGATCTCTTTGGATGTAAGGGTGAACATTCATTGGATGGAAATACTTGTATATATTTAAAGATCCTGTTCTTCCTCTGGAGCTTGTATGTTTAAAAGTGATTAATCTGTGTAATAAACTCATTACTACCTTCATAGAAAATGTGTCACATTTTTTCTTTATAAATGCTATTTGATGGGCATGATGAAGAATATTTTTTAAAAGTTATGTACTGTTGGGTATAATTAGCCCTGTATAATGACTTGATTAAGTAGGAACTCATTTATTATATGGAATTTGCTGTTAAATGAGTTTTCAAGGATATAGGAAGTGACTGTGTTAAAATATCTGTGTTTTCCACTGACTACAGTAATGGAGGTTTTCTTCTTGGTTTTTAGATTTCCTCTTTCCTCACCCCTGAAACCATATCCAAAGCGGCTTCCATGCCAGAAGGATGCTGTTAAATTTCCCCAGTGGACGGACCCCCTACCGGGCACTTCACAAGAGAACATCCCAGTGAGGCCGGTTGTGATGGTGAGTGTCACTGCTGCTGGGGGCAGCGGCTGGGAGAGTGAGCAGTGGTCTGGGAACCTCCAGGCCCAGTCTGGTTCCCTCTGTCAGTTCCTCGTTGTGAACTGTGGTCAGAAAGTATGTCAGAGCAATATCTTACCTGTCAGTAGCTGAGAGACCAGTAACAAAGAAAGACTCAGCTTTGCATTTTTTTCGCTCTTGTGTATTGACATTTTGACCAAATATATGGTAGCTGTTTTCAGATGTTCAGACCAAGCAGTTTTTTGGTAAAACTCCCTTATTATCTCCTTTTCCTTTCTGTTCTATACTTTGCTCTTTTTCCTGTTTGTCTTCTCCTTCTGAACTTTATGACCAGTTGAGAGTGAGAAGGTTGGGATGTGGAGTATTGTGGAATGAGTCCTACACAAAATATGGACAAAGGAAGTCCTGGCTGGGTAACTCAGTTAGGTGGAGCATTGCCCTTCACAGCAGAAGGTTGTGGGTTCCATTCTTGGTCAGGGCACATACTTAATTTATGGGTTCGATCCCTGGTTGGGCGCATATGACAGGAAACCAGTCGGTGTTTCTCTCACTCTCCTTCCTTCCCTGCCCCTCTGAAACCTAAGCTCAATGAACTCCTTTTGGGGGGACATAACTTTTTCTTTGAAATATCCCCAGAAAGACTATCAAGATTGAAATAATGCTTAAAAAATAAAATACAGAGAAAAATTTTATAGAGCAGTTTTTAGGAATTGGAATAACACCAATGTTTTAAGTTAATCTAGTCTTATAGGATTTGATGTCCAATTCATACTTTTGTTTGCAAAGATTTGATGTAAACATTTTTTGGCAGCGTAATGAAAAGAAAAGAGTTACCTGATGAGGTTCTATTGTATCTTGGAGAGAATAGTTAAGCAACTTAGGCTTTATCAAAGATAATTCAAGAAAAAATGACACCGTTGACAGAAATGGAGACTCTGTAAGGGCTTGCAGATAAGTCAGGGACAGTGATGAATTTGGTTTAAAATGTGTTTAATGATAAAGTTGGGTTGTGTTAAATGGAAGTGTCTAATAGGCAGATGGAGAGAACGGCCCTGGAGCTTGGAGGAGAGGCCATATTTGGAGTCATTGTTGTTTACTCGACAAAGATGTATTAAGTGTCTGTTGTGAATCATGTATTGTGCGAGGCTCTACAGATACAATGATATGCCATACAGTTTTGCTCCAAAATGGCTCATAATCTAGTGAAGCATGCAATACAAAAATAGATTATTAGGAAATAAAGTGGAACTACTCTGAAAGAGAGAGCACAAAAGGTATTTGAGGACTATTTAATTAATTCCTAATGAGGAGTACTTAATTAAGGTCTACTTGATAGTCCCTATCCAGAGAGAATTAAATTATAAGCTCTATGAAATAAGGTACATTATCTTTTTGCACATTCATGTTTAAACACCTCATCAGTAGACCCTGTCAGTAGGGTTGTTAAATAGGTTGTTCAATAGACATTTTTTTTTATTATAAGGTCACCCAGTGTTGTTTATACAAAAGAGATAAAATTCCATGTTAAATTAATGTGTATTTATGGCATCAATATAACTTCCCTTTTCTATTCTGTGTTTCTGTGAAGTTGTAATATTCCTGGTATTACCCCTGGGAAAACCAACTGCTCATTAGCACACTTTAATGCACTGATGACAGTGACTTCTATCTTTTATTTTCAGATTCAAATTTTTGAGGAGCCCTGAAGTGGTAGAGAAGTGTTTTAATTCATTGGCCATTGCCCCGCACCCCACCCAGTGTATCACTTTCCTGGTCATCTGACTCTGCATTTGTTTTGATAACTGTTGTCTTGCCTTTTCTTATGCTTCCCCCTTAAGTGAAGTGGTAGAACTTTGGAAGCTCTCTGCTTATTATAATTCCGTCAAAGCCTACACTGCTGCTTCTTGAGAATTGTCCCAGGAAGGAATGGCAGAGCAGGATCTCTTTCCCTTGATAGAGGTTTTAGAATGATGAGGTTAATACTTAATAGAGAAATAGTTCATCTTTCTTAAAGAACTTGAGTTCATTATTCATTTATTTCTTTTCCTCTTTCTGACTCTGCCTCCACTTTACTAGTTGGTTTTGGGTTTTGTTTTGTCCTATCTTCTCCCCTGCCTAGCCATTATGTCAAATAAAATGAAATACATAAAATTATTTCTTGCATTTGCTGAGGGGACAGTACCATGTGGAAAGTAGGAATGTGCGCTCTGGAGCCACACTGTTGGGTTGAATCTTGGCTCCTCCTTTACTAGCATTGAGCTTGTTTCTGTTTCATTCACTGGGTTTGTGTTGCAGTTTCTTTTCGGTGGAACTGGGATGGTATACCCCTCTGGGGTACGGTCGTTGTGATAATGAAGTGAGTTCTCACGAGGACTCAGTAACTTAACTGCTATTTCTATTACTAATGTGTTCAGTAGAATTGTTTGCAGCAGAGACGAAAGGAAAAAATTACTCATAACATCCAGAGAGAATTGATATTAATGTTTTTGTTGTGTGTCTCTCTGAGCTTTAGTTTTGCTCCCTGCTGTCCTTGTGGAGTCCTCATTTTACCTGCCTGCTGCAGATGCCAGAGATCTGGGGCTGCTGTTCAACATTGTACTCCTTTGATCTTTGCTTACAAAAAACAGGATTCTTGAAGTTAATATAATTTATTTTAAACAATCATTTAATTTGGACTGTGTGCATTTGGATAGGAATTCCTCTACTTAATTTTGAAATAATACATTTTATTTCACTGTTGCTTCACTGAGTGTCTGGAACTCCCACAGGAAATGTCGTCTTCTCATAGCTGATCTGCCGTTCATAGCTGATCTTGGATGTTCACTAACAATACGACCTGAGTTTTAAGAGTCATACTTTATTTTTCTGCAGTCCATACAAAGAAAGTTAGTTTATATTTGCTATTACTTTAAGTCAAATTAAAGAAATTTCTCATAAAGCCTTACCACTGTCTATTGAAGTATTTATTCTCTTTCTTTTTACTCCCCTCCCCACCATTAGAATTCTGAGATGTGGTACAAGCGTCACAGTATTGCTATTGGAGAGGTGCCGGCTTGCCGTCTTGTCTACCGCAGACAGCTGACAGAGGCCAATGTGGAAGAGATATGGAAGTCTATGACGTTATCATAGTATGTACACTTGACATTAATGAGACTTTTTTGTGATTTTTTTCTAATTTGCTTTTCCACTATTCTTGGCATATTTAATTTTCTGAACTTATGTATAAAAATCTTAACTTTGTATTATTTGCAGCTATGCTGCTTATTAAACATAATTTAATTAAATTCTGGGTATTTTCTATGCTACTTATAAAATACTTAAGAATAGACATTTGAAAGTTCTTAAACTTTCTAGAAACTCTGAACTCTTAAGGAAACACATAATGGAAAATTTAATGGTCTTTTAGATATTAGATGTACTACAGGTAATTAAAGTTAATGATGTTATAGCAAGTTTTTTTTTTCCTCACAAAGATGTAGCAGTTTCTCATCATTGGATATGTTAATGGCAAAATGACATTTTTCAAATGTGTTCTATCATACTCAGTTTCTAGCTTTTTTGCCCCACAAATATTGGGTGAAATGCATAAAAACAACACATTTTAAAGATTGATTTTTTTTACAGTGTCAGTTTTTCTGGCAAATAATGATTTTTTAAAAAGTAATTAGTTAATGTAATTATATTTATCTTTTTAGTTTACAGAAAATCCTTGGCCTAGATTCCTTAGAAGAAGTTTTAGATGTCAAACTTGTCAAGTCCAAGTTCATCTTACATAATGTATATAGTGTGAGCAAGCAGGGAGTTGTTATCCTTGATGACAAGTCAAGTAAGTGCATAAAACTATTCTGTTTCTGGTTGATCAATATGTTGGTGCACAGTTGTATCACTTTCTTCTTGACACTTCCCTAAACCCTAAATAAATTTACCCCTCATTACAAATAGCCTCCTGTCACATCCTAATACTTTTTACCTAAGTGCTCGGATTAAAGAAATGTCATGGAATGATGAATATTCAGGAGTGAAAACCTCAGCAAAATCCATCCAGAGACTAGTTCAGTGTTTGCTACACTGGGCATTAAGTGGTTCTGAAAAATCCCTGAAAAGTGAGTAGATTTAAGACCTACCTGAGAGCTTGAGTCAGTTTTCAGGTGGACCCTGGGGTCTGATTGATTTTAGGTTCTCATTGACCTTTTTGTAATGGTATTTCTGCGTCAGTTTTTCTAGGATACTCTTGGTTTATGTTATTTTTTTCTTTTTATAAAGGTAGCTTTTTAAATGTTGAAGGTATTTTAATTTTTTTTTAATGCCTATTTTTCCCAAGCCAGTTTACAAATCAGAAAAAAGAAAGACATTTAGTAGGTACCTATCCTGGTTTTTGATTTGGAAAAATAGTCGCTGTACATGGAGTGGAGTCAGAATCTCCACACTGACTTTTACAACCTCCTTCCGCTGGATAAGGGAGGGACTAGAACTGAATGGGCTGTTTGGTTGGTTCTTCCTTCCCTTCCAACCCTTGATGCTGGGAATTAGCTGGAACTAGAATGACCTTTGGCTGTGGAAAGGTGGTACAGTAATTTGGGGTTTTATAATTTACTGTTAGAGTTAAGGCTGGAGGTTCCTGGCAGCAGACAGCGCTGTGCCAGAAGGGGCCTGAGCAGTGGTGAGAGGGGAAGAGTTTGCTTAAGGCCAAGTTTCCTGACAGGCACAGCATTTGTCTTTGAAACCTAAAATGCTTCCCCTTCTATAGCCCCTGTATCAAGAATGGAGGACATGAGGAAACAGAAATAGATTTGTGAATTTATGAGTTGTCTGGTTAATACCACATGTAAAATTAAGTTACATAGAATGAGGGGGTTATGGCCTTTGAAATACATCTGAAGTCCTTTCACATTCTCTAAGTACAGCAAACATTAATATTTTTAGCCATTGGTCAGATGACCAGTCATCTTTTGGCATATTAAGTAAGTTCTTAAGAAAGAAGAGAGCATTTCAGAGGACTCAGCCTCATTAGATCTAACAATTCAACCAGTGCCTGCAGTTTTGCTGAAGGTGAAGATGAAGAAGTGGAAGCATGAGTGCTGGCCCGTCTCATCAGATGCCCGTGGCAGGGCCAGAAGGAAGCAGAGACTCTACCAAGTGGCCCATCTAGGGTATTTGTAGCGGTGCTAACCATTATTATTTTAAGGCTGTCCTAATATGAATGGCTTATATTAATATGTCAGTAGAACTTTGCCTTAAAACATTTTGAAAATTGAAACATAATGTGATACCTATATTGGACTTTGGACATAGAGATTTCACCTTTTATTTAAGTGTTTGGTGAACTGATTTCACAGGTGCATTTGATGACTAATATTTTTGCTTCTCCTATTTTTGTTTTGCCTGATGCAATTCTTAGGATAATTGATTTATTTGTTAGTTTGTTTCCCTGGAAGAAACCATCTCACTTCTTGTCACTAAATCTTTGAAAAGTTCATCTTGTTCTTAGAGAATTTTGCAGGCATGATTTATACAAGCACATGAAATGCTGCTGCTAAAGAAAAATTTCCATCTTTTAAATGTTCCGATACATAGATAGATGATTTGTGATTGGCAGATATGTTTCATATTACTTGGGCAAGTACTACATTCTTATGATACCAGCAATGTATATATATAATTCCTAGGGTTATATGCAATTGATTAAAATATCTTTTTATTTTTATTTTTCTGCAGAAGAACTTCCTCACTGGGTACTGTCAGCAATGAAGTGTTTGGCAAATTGTAAGTACTAATTGTCTGCCAGTTTTATGAAATTAACAGAAATTAATGCCCTGAATTAGAATATATTTTTGCTGGTCCTCTTTTCTGTGGCACCTTGGAGGTGGTTGGCTGCTTCAAGATGAAGTTGAACATCTCTTTCCTAGCCCCTGGCTGTTAGAAACTCATTGAAGTGGATGATGAATGCAAACTTCTTACTTTTCATGAGAAGTGTATGACCACAGAAGTTGCTGCTGATGCTCTGGGTGAAGAGTGGAAGGGTTATGTTGTTCGAATCAGTGGTGGGAGCGACAAACAAGGTTTCCCCATGGAGCAGGGTGTCTTGACCCATGGCCGTGTCCGCCTGCTGCTGAGCAAGGGGCATTCCTGTTACAGACCAAGGAGGACTGGAGAGCGAAAGTGCAAATCAGTTCAGGGTTGCATTGTGCATGCCAATCTCAGTGTTCTCAACTTGGTCATTGTAAAAAAAGGGGAGGAAGATAGTCTTGGTCTCACTGATACTACTGTGCCTTGTCGCCTGGGGCCCAAAAGAGCTAGCAGCATCCTCAAACTTTTCAACCTCTCTAAAGAATATGGTGTCCGCCAATATGTTGTGAGAAAGCCCCTAAACAAGGAAGGTAAGAAACCTAGAACCAAACCACCCAAGATTCAGTGTCTTGTTACTCCTCATGTATTGTAACACAAACATTGGCGCATTGCTCTGAAAAAGCAACGTTCTAAGAAAAATAAAGAAGAGGCTGCAGAGTATGCTAAACTTTTGGCTAAGAGGGTGAAGGAGGCCAAAGAAAAACACCAGGAACAAATTGCCAAGAGATGTAGGCTGTCCTCTCTGACAGCTTTTACTTCTGAGTCCAGCCAAAAATGAGGTCTTCTAAGAGTAACAAATAAATAAGGATAAACATAAGAAAAAAAAGGAATATATTTTTGCTCAATGGCCTGAACATTGATTTGACACCTGTGAGACTGGTAGTTAATTGTTTGGGGATTGCTGTACTTTTAGTGATAAATTTGTCGCATGGTGAAAGGGCTGAGTTATAGAATGCTTTTAAAGGAATTTTGTGCTTTTATTTTCTAGTGGATTATTTTTATTCCTAAAACATTTATTCCTAAGTACGTCCTATATTTACATTATCAATTTGCTTAACGGATCCTGTCTGCCATTGGCTTTTTACAGGGTAATAGTTTAAGTAGGAGAGAAATGTTTCAGAAGACTAATCTAATGGTATGCAGGATGGTTTGGGAGGAGAAGGACCCACATGCAGAGAAACAGGAAAGACTGTTTCAGTGATACGGCGAAGATGCCTGAATCAGGGTGGGCCCTCTGAGGTTTTTCGTAAAAATCCATTTCACAGGTATGATATCCACTTTATTGGATATCATAGGCACTGTGAAGCAATGAATGATTATAGTTTCTCACGTCATACTATTTTAGGGGGGATTTTCTCAAACAAATGATTTTAATGAGAAGAATTCTAGTGATTTTGTTGACTGATAGTGGTGACGTTTAGTCTCCAGGGCCTTTTGCAGCCTCGCTTGCAGGTCACCACTGAGAGGTGGTTTCTTTCATCCCTTTTGAGTGAGACTGGTATGTACAGAGGCAGGTGTATAAAGTCTTGAATTAGTAGACTCTGAATTATTTATTTAACTGTAGTTAGTTTTGTTTGATTAGAATGAAGCTAAAATAACTATTTAGCTTGCTGTGAGGGATCTCAGTGGTGATATACAGAAAATGATTATATACTATCGATCTGAATGTGACTAGCCATATAATAAGTTTGTGTGAACCCCAAAGTTTTGTGTGTTAACTATTAAGACTATCATAACTTTTTGGTTAATATCTTGGAAACTCTGTGATGTACAGTTCTGTGGTTTTCCCTTGGGACAGTAATTTTTATTCTCCTTGCTCAGTCATTTGAAATCAATTAAATTTAAATGATATCTTTGGCCACAGTTGGCAGTGACAAGATAGAAGGTATAAATGGGAGGTTAAATTACCCATTTCTCAATTACTGGCAAACTTAGGATCTGGTGGTTGATCAGCAGGGAATGAACAGAGGAAGCCAGAATAACAAATCTAGGCTATAATATATTGTAAAATGTGTGTGTGTATACATATATATATATATTTATTATTGTTGACACTATTAAGGAGTGGTTGAATTTTCAGATGATCAAAACTTAGTGAAGAGTACAGTTTTCCCTCCAGGAAAATGTATCAAATCACAAAATTTTGCAGAAAGATTAGAATAATTGGAATTTCTTATGAATGGAGGAGATGGGAAGAGCAACTTAATAGTTTTCTCCATGTGTGTCAGGTGGTGGTATAGTAGGTGGAAATTCTTGGGGACGGGGACATGTGTCATATGTATCAAGTGCAGTGGATGGTTGGTATATCCATAAAGATACTTATGTATCAAAGAAGAAAAGGTGGTCAAAGGGCAAGGCCAGCCTTTTGAATAATTGTATGAAATTATTAATTTCCCAAATTCTTATTGGTCCCCCAAATTTATTTTGAGTCTATTAAAATTCTGGCCTATTTCTTACCCTTCTTTATTTTTAATGAGTCTAGATTCCCTTAGAGTCATCTAAAAGGAGCAGAAAGGATAGGCTGATTATATGATATTTTGAAGGCCTAGCACCTTCTTTTCTGTAAATCTGCTGCCTCCTTCTTTCCTTTAAGCCTGTCTGCATTTATGGTGGATCGTGTGCACATCGGCCTGGGTACTTTTGTTGAGTACCAGCCTTATGGTTGACCACAGAATGAAAGACTGACGTTAAATATATATAAAGCCTGGTTAACTGTGGTTTGTTCTTTGTGCATGTAGATTGCAAGGATTCAATCAGAAATGGATACAAACAACTTTTCCAAAGTCTGTCAGAATAACGTTTATAAAAAACTAGTTAAAAAATATTCTGAAATTCAAGATGCTTAAGAAATAAAAGACCTTAGAAATGCAGCCTCTTCTTACAGAAGTCAGTATGTGAGTTTCCCTAAAACTACCAGTTTTCCTAAGACTACCAGTTTCCCTAAAACTACCAGTAGTAGTTTTAGGGAAACTGGTAGTTTCTCCCCTCTCTCCCCTCTCCCCCCCGCCCCGCCTTTTTTTTTGTATGTGATGAAGTGTTCACAAAAGGGTATAGTTGCTTAGAATGAACTGCATACTTATCCTGGGAGGGAGGAAGTCAAGGTGGTGTGCATTGCTTGCTGAGGAACATCATGCTAATAATGACAGTATTTCCATTGACTAAGCCTGCAGTATTTTAGTGGAGGAAGCAGGTAAAAATGGTGGCTGTTTGCTGCTAGGTTAATGTGGTACCACACATAGAGATCTTTCAAAATTTTTATTACTTAATCAAACAAATTAAGTTATTTTGTAAGAAGTATACTAGACTATTAAAAGGTAAAAAATTTTTAGAGAGACCAACAAAAAGCCACATGCACAGTGTCTCAGTGGCCTTGGAATATGAAGGCCCAGAGTGCTTGTCTTTTTTAGTTTGATGCTTTCTCTTTGGTTATAGCACTTCTGTAGTTTGCATTTCCTTTCGGTTTTTACTGGCTTCATCTTTTATTCTGGGGGTGGAGATCTGTGTGGGTACAGTCGTTTAGTCTTGGGTTCTGGTCCAGAACTGGCCGATGCAGTTGGACTCCTTTTCTCCATGCCGTGAAGGAGAGTGAGAAGGCTGGTTGAACTGTTCCTCCTGGGACTACTGGCCATGTCTCCGAAGGCGAGGGGCTGTAGCTCGTCTCTCCACGTGGCAGTGAAGTCTGTGGTCTCTGTATGGATTGTTGGGGGCATTTGCTGCCAGCTCTGTAGAGAGCTAAGCATTTCTTTCTTGCTCCTCTTTGGTCCCACGTGCAAGTGCACCTTTGCCCTGCTGCTGGCATAGGGCAGGGCCGGGACCAGGTTGTTCCAGGCTTCTTACAGTGACTCCAGCCTTGCAACAGGACTCTGCTTGATTAACTGTCTTTTGAAGGTTGGTTGGGGATTAAATAGAGTTTTATGATCAGAATGAATTATAAGACACAAGGTAAAATCTCCTCAGAATATCTTTAAGAAAAAATGTATAAATTCTTATCAGTCTGAAATAGTGTACAGGCAGAAATTGATTATTTCACTCAACTCTGACTCTAGAATTTTATAATTTAGCAATGATAAAATAATGAAAAGCTTTAAAATATCCTTGTGACTTGTGTGTTACACATGTGAGCTAATTGTCATCAGGGTCAGCTGTAACAAGACTAGGAAAATACTGAATATTTCAAGGAAAAATTATCATTCTTTACATTGAGTAAAAATGCCTTTCAGAAGGGCATAAAAGAAAGAGTAGATTTTTTAGAAATGAGAGTAAGCCAGTGATTTTTCTCACTGTTTCATAATAGATTTCAATTTAGACATAAATCATATTTGTGTAAACAAAATGTATGGCAATTTATTTAATGTCAATTTCCCCCATGAAATCTTTTCTGATCTTTACTGTGCACCGAGACTAATACTTAGAGGTGGTTGTCATGCTAGTGTTTCTCTTCCTATCTCATTCTCTTTCTTTTTTTAACAGGGCCTAATTGTTCAGATTTGAAGCAGCCTACATATTTAGGATTTGAAAAAGATGTCTTTAAAACAATTGCGGATTACTATGGTCACTTGAAAGAGCCTCTGCTTACCTTTCATCTCTTTGATGCCTTTGTGAGTGTTTTAGGTAAGTTGGAATATAATGAGCATCTATACATTGATGTCAGACTATTTCATTTTCACTGTTGTGAGACTTCCATTAGCCAAACTTCCAGAAGCCTGTTTGAAGTTAAAACTGATGGGTTACTTGCCTAGTTGGTGTCCTCCTTTCGAAGGAGGAAAAGAAGATGGTTAAGCTATATTAGGAAACTCAAAGCAAGGGCCACTGATTATTTCTTAATAAAGAACAATATGTTGTATGTCATTTTTGTACAAAAAAAGTGTGACTTTATTGGTGGAGAAGAATGTAAATTTGACACTTACTGTTCACGAGTAAATCTGCGGCTCTGAATGTGACTGCATGAACTGTCCGGTGTGGGAGATGTGTTTTCATTTAGAAATCTAATTTCTTCTTACAGCAGGAACTGATTTTTGTAGAACTATTTGTTAATTGTGACATGTAAAATAGAATTACTTCATCAGTCTCTAACACTTGCTGCTGTTCCTCATGTAGATTTATCCTTCAGAATCCACACCCTAAAAAACATGGTAAAAGCAAAAATTCAACATTATTGCTGTAGGTCTTTCTGATATTGTTTTTTCTTCTAGGAAATCAGATTTTCCTCTTGCTGTTACGATTGTTTAATAAGTACTGTTGTTTTCTTGTCAGAAGATTTGGTTTAATCACTCAATTTTTGTGTGGGTACCGTACTATGTTATGTAAATTTGTAAGAATTAGCAATCTTTTCCCTTTCTTCTCTTCCCTTTCTTCTTCTTTCAGTTTTTCTTTCTTCTTGGAAAGTATGGGTGCTGCTATAGTATCTTAACAATGTATTAACAATATGTGAATAATTTACTGATCTCGTAGCACGGTACTTTAAATTTTTTAAAGATTTTGTAGGTTTTCTTATAATGAACAAAAACGACAACTATAAATCATGTAAGAGTGAATTTTGTTTTTAGAGAGACCAATATTGGGGACAGACGAAGGGATTAGTCCTGTTACCGAGTTTTGAGGCCACTGGGTCTTCTTGGTGTTTTGTTTTCAGCCAGGGAGGACCGGAGGCCTATGTACTTGTGAATATCATGCCTGATGATGAATACTTGCTGTTATTTAATATGTGTGCGGACTGATTGAGTAGATTTTCATTATAGCCACTTGACTGCCATTATGCTACTGGGAAAGAATTCTAAAGATTCGCTTAAAAATCACTTCTCAGAGTTTTTCCCCTCGTTTTCCATTTTTATAATGTCTTATTGTACAATTATCTGTTTTAGAAATGAAAGCACTTGGAACTTTTAAAAATGAAGTCTAATTTGAATCATTTATATTTAAGGTGTCACTGGTCTATTTTACCACAATTTTCATTTTGAACTCAGCTGGGAATTAAAGCTGATTATTTCCAAATTGATGTCAGAGTCAGCCACCCTCTAAAATATCATCTGTTGAGGGGTTAGTGTGCAGAAGGCTAGATGGAATGGAGAATTTCCCTGCACTTGGGTATCAGCAAGACCAGACTAATAATGTATGTGGATGGTCATCATGTACTAACCTTCCCTGATCCAGCCCTTCCTGCTTGAATACATTCGAGACATTCTGCACTGAAAACCACATCCTTATGTAGAAGCAGAAAGTCTTCTAGATTATGGAAGACTATTATTTGTTTGTATGGTTAACAAAGATTGTCTGATAGAGAAATCCTGTTAGAGCCTATGGGAGAAGACATCATCTGGAAACTATGTATGGACATAGCAGATGTGCAGGTTGAATGCCGGTAGGGTTAACTCCTTCCTTAAGTCTTTGACTTACTTTGTTTGGAATAGAATGCCATTAGGTACAAATGTTTTAAAGGAGGTAATCAATCTGTTTTGTGTAGAAGCTAAAAACCCTACAGCATTTTCAGTGGAAATGATTTTCAGTTCTGTTAATAAATTTCTTTTGAGGTCTATTCTTTTACTTCTAGCATGAAATAATGCTAGCTTGGTGCCAAAGCTGTGACCTGAGAGCAGTCAGTCATTACTGGTATATGAAACAGGACATTGAAGGGTTGTTAAAGGGAAATAAAAGAGGCATGTTTGGAGATGTAGGACTCATTCTTTATTTACAATTTAAAAAATGATGGGATTTCACTCAGCAGTCTGACCTAACTATTAATAATAATTATCTTTATTTTCTCATATATATTATTATTGTTCAGTTACAGTTGTCTCACTGTTTTCCCCATTGCTCTCCCCTTCCCTGTCCCCCCAACTCCCAAAGTCAGTCCCCCCCCAGTGTCCATGCCCACGAGTCCTCTATTCTTGTTCCTTGGCTTGCCTCTTCCCCTCCTTTCCCCTATTATCCCTCTCCCTTCTCCCCTCTCGTCACTGTCAGGTTGTTGTTTATTTCCATTGTCTCTGGCTCTATTTTGCTCATTTGTTTGTTTTGTTGATTAGATTCCTCTTACAGGTGAGATCGTATGGTATTTGTCTTTCATCACCTGGCTTATTTCACTTAGCATAGTGCTCTCCAGTTCCATCCATGCTGTCGTGAAGTGTCGGAGTTCCTTCTTTCTGCTGCATAGTATTCCCTTGTGTAAATGTACCACAGTTTTCTGATCCGCTCATTTACATAGTAATTAATATTTGTTTTAAAAATAAGGATCCTTGTATTAAGATCATAATTTGTCTGACTCTTGAATGGGTTGAATGAGGTACTATAGCATCATTTATTCACACTGCGGACACACCCTAGAATCTGTGTAACTTGGCAATACTTTGGCATATTGAGGAAAGAGGAGGTGGATGGGAAGCACAGTAGGGCATGGGAGCAGGGAAGAGCACTTTAGAATATTGGGTGACTTGTGGATTTGTATGTATAATGTTATAATTTGAGCTCCCACCCAGTGCTCTGTGGGCCATATCTGGCTCATAAACACATCTAATTTGACCTGTGTGTTTTTAAAAGAAATTTAACTGTCAAACTCTAAGAAACAAAAAGTGCACATAAGAATTTATAATTTTGGCTTCTTTAGAAAAAACTGGAAGATCTGGCAGTTGCGGGCTTGAATTTTCAGTGGCACAAACTGTTGCAGCTGTGTAATGTCTCCACTAGAAGGAGCTATTGTTTCAGGGACGTGAATTGCAATTTGCTGAGTCTCCAATGCCTCCCTTTGCTTTTCAGACTGTAAAGCCAAGTTCACTTACTCATTTATTCCATTTGTCTGTTCCTGTAGGCAGCTGAGCTCGAGACCCCTGGTTTATTTGCTAGTAGGCTGGAAGACTGAGATAGTAGCTCTTTGTTGTTCCTTCTTCCTAAATGTTAAGTTAGAAGATACCATTGAAATTCACTACTGATTGTAGACTGGATCATCTGATCAATAGGTTGAGGTCTCCCTTGTGTTTTTAACCTAGAAATATCCATGAGGTCAGGTTTTCTCTTCTTTGGTTCCTTTGTCTAGTGACTTCTAAGAAATCTTTGGCAATGTGCTCCCCCCTCACCTTGTTACCTCTTTGCACTTATGTCCTTCAAGTTACCTTGGGGTCCTTACCCAGTGATGGTTCCAAAGGGGAAAACAGCTCTTGTTTTGCAGAGTGCCTAGGTGGTGTTCTTGACCAGACAGGGCTCTTGCCCGTGTTAGTCCAAAGTTCTTGCTGTTGGTGCTCTCTGCTCTCAGGGCCCAGGGCTTGCTTATGGCTGGAGCTTTTGAAGGTACAGATAGGCCAAGGTAAGGATATTGAAGCACCTCCAAATGTAATGACTATTGTTGTGTAGAGATTGTTGGCTAAGTGGCTTAAGGTACTCCTTAAAGGTGGAACTTTAGGGAAATGCCTAGGTATTCCCTGGCTACAACTAAATACATAAGCTATTTACAAGCATACTGGCAATTACTAGAATAATTGAAAAAATTTGTGGGAAATAATTTCCTACCTTTCTCATACCATTCAACAGGATAAATTCCAGCTGGGTTAGAGAATTAAATGTAAAAAATGCAAGTCTAAAATATAGTTGATATTTATTTGATATTGGGGTGGATGAAGGACTTTCTAAGCATAAAATCAAAAGAACTCATAGATATGCCGAAGCATTGGGATCCTTCAGGTAGTAAAGGGCATCATCTTGTGCACGGGTGAATCTATATCTACTTTTAAGCAATTCACAAAGGCAGCTTGTTTGCCTTTGTCTAAAAGCCGCTAGGGAAATAGTTTCTCTTGCTGTGTCTTTCTTTAGGCAGGGTTTTCTTATCAATTGATGTGTGGTCTGCATTCTTTTGGCTTAGCATAAACCTCTTCTTTTTTAAGCCTCTTTTCAGTGAAAATGAAATTGTGACTTTTTTTTTTATTCCTTTGGTTGTTGGAAAACTACAGTGAAACTTTCCTGAGTCTCTTGTTCTGTGGCTGAACAGACATGGTCCCAGCGGCCTTTCTGGGAGCAAATTCCAGGCCCTCTCAAAAGTCTTCATATTTTACTTCTTTTTTGAAACTCCCATAAGGAATAGTATGGTTAACATTACAGATGCTGGTGGGCTGATTAGGTTTACTTTGCCAAAATGAAAATTTGTTTTCTTTATGATTTGGAAATGGAAATCTGATGTGACCTTGGGGAATGGGAGGAGGGCGACACAGGCAGGCTATTATAGCCAAAATGTCACCTAACCTTTAGTAGCACAGAATATTATAAATTTTCATTGATTTTGGCTTTATTTATTTCTATTTTAAGGAATAGTTGGGTTTCTTTGAGTATTAATTTATTTATTTACTTACTATCCCTGAATCTAGCTAAATAATGAAATGGCTTCATGATTGAAAAAACTCACAGATGATTTGGTGGATTTTTTATTATCTTTTCATTATTTTACTTTTATTTCACCAATGGAAACATTACCAAGATTAGGTATCTTGGTTTGCAGACCTAGTTGTATGGACTTTGACAAATTGTTCTGCCTCTCTAGGCCCCAGTTTTCTTGTTGGTAAGTGACAGTAATGCCAGTCATACTTATAGACACAAAAACGTGAAACGCAAAGCAATGGGTAACACTTATTTTCCTA